CACCACAAGGCTATATACCATGCGAAACATCCGTTCCATTCGTCTCCAATTGTTTTTTCGTACGCTATGTACGGTCGGTTTAGTCACTCTTCTAATGATCGATGCGTTTGTATTACAAAACAACAACGATGCTCACAAAACAAAAGAGAATACTACGATGAACAACTCCGGTTCGAAGCCGTCCATCGTTTACGCTAAGGAAATACAACAAGAGCTTGGAGATGGATCAAGACGCGGTGATCTTAGCTACGTAGCCAACAAAAGAAAAGTGCCTCGTGGACCCGATCCTATACACAACAGGTTCTTTACCGATTTCTTGTAGCTTGCATGTTTCTTGTATGGTTCTATATGTGTCGATATGTTTCTATGTGCTATTCATTTCAGCAATTTATTGCCTAGCTAGCTAGTGATAAATCCGATGTTGAGATGAATTCATAACATTTGAGTAATGAATATATTCGAAGAAATTAACCAAGCTACGTTTATGCATATTACATTATAAATAAAAACTTTTTTTTTTATGTCACCATATATATAATATTAGCACAAATTTACTAGAAACATATACACTTTGTTTCTTTTATCTAACTCAGATTCGGTGAGACATATCACAGAGGCTCGTAAAAGGCTGTCTGCTAGCTTTATTCAGTCTATAAGTTTACAATCTTTGTTTTGTAATTACTCATTATAAGATGTCTTCTTTTAAAAACTTTCCTTTTTCCTTTATGGAAGCTTTAAGCCCTTTAAATACTCTCTTTTCATTCTCCTCATTTCTTAGTTATAAAGAGAAAAATAACCACTTAAGATATCAGCTTATTATTTTGAGAACAAAATGATTTATAGTTAAAATTCCATGTATTAACATAGTCAATTGACCGAAAGTATCAATTACTATATTTGTTGTCGATTACATAAAAGTAAAAGAAACATATATAACTCATTTTTTGTTGTGGATCAAGTGATTAAGTTATTTTATTGAATTCTAATATTAAAAGGTATAATGTTCTGCCTTGATACAGGAGAGCAGGGAACTCAAGACGACCACCAGGAAGAGCATAAGTACGGTGAAAGCTTGGAGGAGAAGCAGAGAAAAAGAGAGAGAGAAAAATATTTGTTTGCAAATAGGTCTTGTAATGCTGCTGGATTCTCTTTTCCTTTCATTTGGGGTCGAATCTTTAAAATATGCTCAAAATATTTGTGACCATACACTTCTGTTCTTTTTTAATGTTTTGTCTTTTCTCCTCGAGTAAGAATCCCAGAGGAGGTTCGC